TGTCTGGTGCGCGTTGCTATTTATTTTCCCATCCTTACCGTAGCCCACCCCTATACTCCCTCGGGATTTCGCATAGCTACAAAAGCCAGTTCTGACATCTTTTTGTACGATAATAATTGTTTGTATCCAGCGACTACAGCTAGATACAAAGAGGGTAAACATGACGGGGCACCTCCTCGTGGGGACAGGACCTGTCTCCCTATATAACCGCCGGTTTTCTTTATTCTGGGTCTTTTTCCGTCTTGTCTTTTTTCTGGGATCATCAGTATCGGGGCTGTGGAATTCGATCATTCTCTGGTTGGATTCAGTTTCGTTGGGAAATCGTCCCACAATATTTGGTCTGGGCTTCGACCCTCTAATGCATGATTTTCCAAGGGAATCAAAGTCTTCCAACTTCAGAGGACCTCGGACAGGTTTCTTTAATTGTGTAAGTGTTGCGGTTATTTCTTCTTCCTCTTAATTAAATTACTTGGCATGATGAAGGCCAAGCCACTCCTTCATTTCGCCTAGTCACAACGGCACCGCAATACCTCACAACAACCCATTAAAAACATTTAATGAAGCTTTGGTTGGGGAGCATCCTTCCAAAGTTGATTTCTGGCTTACGAGCTAGTGACTTCTGCATTGAAACCATGTGGTCGAACTTAGCTTAAGTGAAAGCTGACTGTGAATTTACAGGGTCGCACATTGGCAGAAAATATTTTCACTAAATTTCAGCATCCTAGCTTTCACGATTCCCGGGATAATAATTTTCCAGTCAAAACTTTCACGGGGCAGTGTTTGATACCAAAGGCACGGGAGGTTTGAATTTAAACTTTCAGAGTCATACGTAGGCGGAAAACAACTTGCTAAAATTTCGAACTTCTAACTTTTGTGGTTCCCGAGTTGAAAGTGCGACACAAAATACACTCGGTTGCATACATACATACATACACACAAAAACACATACACATAGACAACTCCAGTGACAATATTCGTTTTGTGCTACTGCTACAGAGTGTAGCGAACAGCTCACAACGCTGCAAGTTTCACGACTTGTATAAATCTAGACCCACTATGAGCGGATTCAGGACAGACTTCTGGGGATAGGGAAGGGGGTCGAGGGAGAGTGGGACTCTTGGCGGAGGCGACGGGAAGACGAGAAGAGAGGAGAGTCCCTTCCACCCTGGAATTATGCAAAGACGAGGAATAGAGTTGCAGCTTTGCTACTTAAAGTTACTTTAATTTATAAACAAATCCGGATTTTTGCAGCACTGGTGCCTATGCCGCTGGGAAGGAGTGGGAGGGAAGAGTGGGGTTGGGGGCAGGGAGGGAAGGGGGGCGAAAGATGCTTCGTCCCCCACCCCCAAGTTGACCCGCCTGTGGGACCCACAATTCTACACGCAAGCAAGAATACAGTGGTGATTCACCAATGCGAGACCAAAATTCAAGCGAGGCTTGCGTCTTGTTCGGATCAATGCGTGAATCAGCAGAGGAATGGGTTTCGATGCGCTATAACACATACCATCCCTTGTAATTGAAAATTGCTCCGCAACATTTTTCAGAGAAGGAATGGGCCTTAGGTTACCTCCGATCTGCAAATCCACCTATGACCCCACTCTAACGCAACACCGCTCCGAAGAGCCAACGAAAACGGCAGCAAAATAAAAACGTAGGCCACCGCCACTAGCGATCACTTAATCCCTCATACCTCAAAGATGTTCGAGAGGCCGAATATTCCCACGAACCATCAAGGCGATGCTAAATCCCAGCACAAATTCAACCCTAATCGAAGCGAAACGCAACTTGACTGGCCATCACCACTCAAATGAATACGACTACTGCCCGCCCCAAAAGTCAACACCGATCAATCGCAGACTGTATCCAACCAATGGACGGCCAGCAAGTACGATGCGCACCCTTTACAGCTAGCTCTAGCGTAGGCCCGCCCCCCTCCCAAAAGATTTGCAGAAAAACGATTCATGCTGAGCCCTCCCGACCGATTAGCCACCGAAGGATCGGATACACGACGTGTTTGCCAGGTGCATGTATTCCCCGCCCGACAACTTTTAGAGGACTGAATGTGGGCAGCTTATAAGAAC